CTTTAAATACACATTATCATTTTTATTTCTTTCTCTTTTCACCCCCCCCCTTTTTAGTATTATTTTTAAATTATTTGTTTCCGATCTGAAACTGTTCTTCCTTTGATAAAGGAACAGAACGGTTCAAAAAGTGTTATGTGGCTGAATACCTCTTAAAAATTGATCTTAGATGACTGGCTCCTCTTGATAAATTTTTAAACTAGCTTCGTAGCATGCTACATTTACTCGCTCATTCACCCCTTATTAATTTTATCGTACGAAAATCGAGAGGAGAAAATTATGCGAATAATTTAATTTCCGAAGGACACATTTACAAATGAAAATTATTCATGGATAAATTTCCGGTAGCTATCATAATATTATTTGCTTAAAAGAAATTTACATTTCAATAAGAATACTTAGTAATATTAATATCATACTATCTTTTAAGATATCTTCATTTCTACTTTCCTCTTCTTGAATCTCGCCAGCCGTTTTTACTGTCCACCGCTAATCTGTAAGCTTCAAATCATTTAATGCTGCTGGAAGTGCCGCTGTCTGTGTTGTTTACGCAGCTTTCAAGTCGTTGCCATCGTGACCCGTTGCCATCGTCTTCATTACCGTTCAGTGTGTCTTTCCGGGTGCAGTGATCTTCAAAACCATCAAGAAAAACACCGTTTTCTTGAAGCTCTTAATTATTATTGTTTCATCAGTCTGAGTTCACGCACTCAAATTTCAGGAGCAAATTAATTAGTAATACGAAAACAATTAATTACATGAACGAATCGTTAAAAAATTTAAGGTACTTCATTTTTTGAATGACTTGAGAAAGGAAAAAATGATGTAAATGCTTAGAAAACTTCAGACCCTCGTGCTAAAAACCTAGGGGGATAAAATATACAAGTAAATGTAGTATTTATAAATATAGTTAGTTAACTTTGTTGACCACATATAACTAATATTAGAGATCTGTGTATGTAAATGCTAAATTCAAACTTATAAATCCACTTCTTACATTAGACAAGTAGATTAGATTTGAACACCATTGTTAAAAGATGTTAATGTATTTACACACACAAAATAACCGGACACATTAAAAGACCAGACGATAAAATAAAAAAGTGAACGAATATAGGTATGTTCAGTAAAAGCGACATCTTATCTCTTGTTAAAGCCAGTTTAAACTGGTTATTTTGTCGTGTGTATATCAAAACGCTGGTGTCATTTTCATTCATTGAGAAGACATTATATAAACAAAAATTGTTTCGAGATGAAACAATGTTACAACGTTAAATTTTGTTACAAATTAGGTTAACATTAGAAAGGGTTGAAGCTGCATATGGTGATGTATCGATATCAAGAACACAAGTGAATGAGTAGTACAACCGCTTCAAATCTGGGAGCGAAAGCGTTGTAGATGAAGCAAAGATAGGGCGCCCTTTAACTTCAAAGAATGAGGAATATGTGGGGAAAATGCTTTCTTTGGTTAGAGCTGACAGACATGTAATAATACAGCAACTTTCAGATATGTTTAAAATGAGCAAAGAAAGCTGTAAGTTCATTTTAATTGAAAATTTGAAAAATGAGGAAAGTTCGCTCTATTTGTGACTTGGATTTTTATAAAACAGCTGAAAGAAGAACGGAAAGGTTGTTGTGAAGATTTGCTGACTACTACGAGATAGGACAATATTTCTTAATGTGTGTCGTAGCGGAAGATGAGACCTGGTGTCTGTAGCACGACCCAGGAACAAAAACATGAAGTACGCAGTGAAAAGTACCGTCTAAAGTGAAAAGTATTCTCCTATTAAAAAAAGGCACTGGTGTTGAAATCAAAGCTTAAGGTGTTCCTTTTGCACGATAATGCTAGGCCCTATGCAGCATTGTCTGTACAAAAATATCTTGTTAAGCATTCACATGGAGTGATAAATCATCCACCATATTCTCCCGACTTACCTGCAGCTGATTTTTTTCCACTTTTTCTGAAGTTTAGGAAGGCCGTGAACAGATAGCAATTTGAAAATGTCCCGGATATTAAATCAAATGTTACGCGTGTTTTGCGAAGGATTATTTACAACACCTATAAATAATGTTTCGATGACGTGAAGAAACGTTAAAAAATGATATAGATTCCTCTGGCGATTATTTTGAAGGAGATGTATTTGTTTGTAAATAAGTCATCTTTTTCTTATTTATGAGAAAATTTTCTGTTATTTTATGAGCATACCTCGTAATTCATTTTTTTCACTTCCTCTAAAATCGAAGATTATCCTTTCATTAAGATTTTTTTCCAAGGACTTTGTTTCATTACATAAACAGGCAGAAGCTAAAAATTCGTTCGAGGCTAATTTTTCTATTCTTAAATTTCTCCCATCTAATTTAAGAAAATTTGTCTAGAAGCATAAGAAATATTTACTAATTAGAAATTTCCTTGCGGAAGGCAAGTATAAAAATTAAAAACTTTTTCTGAAATGATATCGAAAGCTGGCTTTGAAAGCTTCCATTATTAGCTCATTTTTCAGATTGGGACCTAGGATCTACGCAAACGTTTTCAAAGACACTTAAACGTGCAATGATTTAAAGACATCCTGTATAAAGTTGCATAATTATAGCATATCGTATAGAATCCCGTCATGCAACTTTGAATCATTGTTTATCTGGTTTTCTAAATACGATTTTCCCGATTATAGCAAAAATAAAGTAATATTCTTATATTAATGTATTCAAATTTGCAGTTGCATATACCATCTGCCATACTGAGGTAAGAATATTTTGATTTATGATTACGATCAATTAAAAAATAAATTAAACAAATTTTTAGCCTAAAATTCACGTACAAACTGCATGGTTGTTACGTAAAAATGAGTCAGTTGCCCTTAAACTTCCTTCACCAAGTCATCCCTTCCTTAGGAAGATAGCTCGCATATGCTTTGCAACACAGGAACAAACAAACAGGACTTTTAAAAATGTTCCATTTTTGCGATTGTGTGAAAAAAATTGTTCTCAAAATATTTGAACTATTATCTCAATGTGCTTGCAATATTTTATTCATTCTAAAATTTCCAATCATAAATATTAATTTTAAACCTCATCGCTTTTATTATATTGTAGAATATTACAGTAATTATTCACTGATTGTTGTTTCTGAACCGGTTTTATGTGTACATATTAAGTGAGCATGGAGCCATTTTAATTAACTGTTCATTTTAGTAATTAATGAGAAATGTATAATGCAAGGTACCAATGCAACCGAAAAATTACGGAAAATAAAAAAAAAATGGAAAATTGTTGAGGAAAATCAATTAAACTATAGAGAAGACAGGGAATTCAGAAAAACATACAACTCTCTTTAATTATTTGAGATGTTCAGTTCTCTCAAATAATTAAAAATTTAATCTTAAATCCTGATCTATAAAAAAACGCACATCTTAAAAGGAATCTTATCACAAAGAGAATGTCATCTTTGCTTTTCTTCAACAATGTATTGTTACGAATTTGGTATTTAAAAAGCTAATGTTAGTTCAATTATAAATTAAATGGTTTTATTTCTCGCGCAGTGCAGCGCGTGACGAATATTAAAAGAAAGCTAAGCCGGAAAATTGAAAATACAAGAGCGCGTGCATTAAATAAATAAATATCTCTTTTTGATTTCGAGAAAGTACTGGAAAATTTTAGCGCGTGATTTTAAAATCTTATAAAAGGAGGAAAACATCTCAGTTTGGAGTAGTTGTTGTAGTTGCTTAGTTTGTTGTTTTTAGAAAACTGCCGTTGTTGATTATAGCGAATTCGCGGATTAGCGTTCTTTAGCTGTTTTGAATTACGTTCTATTGGATATTTGAGTAGTTAAAAGATAACTACTGTGAGATATTGTAATTCTGCATGATAATTTGAGAAAATTTAAGCATTTTTGTGATAATAATAAATTTTTGTTCATTTTTTTCATCGGACTTGTGCATTCATTTCATAACGAACCCGTACGCACGCAACAGTATTTTACTTAGCTCTGCAGTTTTGTGAATCTCTTTCTTTTTACCTGTTGTAAAATGTTATTAACTTTTTTAGTTAGAAATATAACTGTTCTGATGTCCCTGTCTTTGTAACTGCAATTGCCCTCGAAGAATAAACAGCGTAATTTAAAAGACATTGCATTATGTGTTTCGTACATCATAAAAATATTTATATTAATTTGAAAGTGTGATTTTTAACTTTTTAGTTTTATTTGAAGCATTACAAGTGCGCAGTGTTACTCAGAATTTCAAATTTCGTTTCAAATACTGTTGTTCACTTATTTCACTTGTTAAAATGCACATTTCTTATACATATATTTTTTTCCGTTTTCAGCACTATAATGATTCGAATAAATGACATTTTTAGAATGGTCTTAGTTATTTTGTTATAGGTTGTAATATATGCAAAAAGTTATTCTGTTACTTACGTTTAATTTGATAATCAGTTCAGTATGTTTTGTTAGAAAAAAAATTGTTTGGTTACAGAAAATCAAGAAAATTAAGGGAAATTAAAATTGAATTTCAGTGATAACTATGTAGTTTATTATACAAATAAATATTTCTAATATTTTAAGGAAAAGAAATCGTTATAATAATTTTAGCTATTTATATTATTAAAAATAATCAAAAATCCTCCTTCCAGTTTTTTATCTCGCAGTGCTTACGAACAGCTAACAGCCTCTAGTTTAATGAATACATTATGTGAAAGCTATCTTTTCAATAGTATTTCGGTATCAAATATTTTTTCTCTTTATAAAATGTATATTTGCATCTAAATGAAACAATAAAAAAAGTTAAAAGACGATTTTTCAGACTCATTGACTAAAGGTTACATATTTTCCCCCGTTCATTACAATTCAGTTTGTCTGACCTCTTTTAAATGGGACTTTACTGTACTCTAGTGTGTGTCTGATGCTCAGTAACTGTCATTTGACTTACCCCAAAATTTTAATTTTCCTTATCTAGGAAGATACACTTTGTGTTTTAATGAATTGTCCTATTTTTGGCTTTTTCTAGGTTCGTTTCTTTTTCCACAAATTTGGGTTGAATATGGGTGATTTAGTACTAGATGTTGTGGAATCCGAAGCAACTCCTGGAAAAACAAGAGTAGCACCACTTTGGAGAAGCTATGGCAACAAAGGTGATTTCTGGTGGAAAGCATCTGTCATGTTGCCCAACATATCCAATCCGTAAGTTCCAGTTTCTTATTAACACGTAGCATTAGTGCCTATTTTAATTAGCGATGAGATAAGTCCTAAATATTCTGAAATTCCAATCCTCTAAAAATCCTTGAATCCTTTAAATCCATCGAATCAAAAAAATAATATTCAAATAAAACAATTAAATATGCATTTAATAAAAAGCAAATGCAAAGTTATGTTTAAAAAATATACTTCTCTTTATTAAAAGATATGAATGAAATTCAATAACTGAAGTACATAATTTAAACTTGGAAGTTTAATTTCGCAACATAACTTGACAAAAATTATTTGAATAAGAACTTAAATCTCAATGAACATTCAGCAAACTTGACTGAGATTGGTTTCTGGCAGACAACGGGAGACATGGACAAAGCAGCGCTTATACAACATGGAATGTGTAGCTAGAAGCATTCAGGATTATCAGTAGATATATACAGGGTGTTTATAAAGTCCCGGACCCATTTTGATATTTAATAACTCATAAAATAATGAAGATATAAACAAACTTATGGCATTTATTGATGAAATAACTTATATATTTTCCTTTTCAGGTTTGAATATCTTTACTTTAGTAAATATCGTCTGCGCGTGTGGTTAATTTCAGATAATTTCATTTTCCAGTCTAAATATATGTACTTTTTCTAAATATCGTCCGCTTATTAATTGCATTTTTCTCTCTTTTGTTTTTGGCATATTCCTGGCATTGTTAATCGCCATAATATGCGCATATGGGGATCTGAAAACCCCCATGAATACCGTGAGGCAAAGGGATTCCCCAAAGGTTAATGTGTGGTGTGGACTAATGCACGACCGAGTCATTGGGCCTTTCTTTTTTTACGGAAAAGACGGTCTCATCAGTCGTATACTTAGACATGCTAGAAAACTTCGTAGTTCCACAACTAGAAGAGCTTCAGCCTCATGTTGTTTTTCAACAAGATGGTGCACCACCTCATTGAGGTACCATCGTTCGTAGTTCTTTGAATGACCATTTTACAGGAAGATGGATTGAGCGAGGAGGTCCAATTCCTTGGCCACCCAGATCACCTGATATAACGCCGCTGGACTTTTTTCTTTGGGGATTTGTAAAGGACAACTTTTACAGGAAGAGAGTGTCGAACATTGATGACCTAAAAGCCAGAATTACAACCGCAATAGCCTCTGTGGATGCCGACATGCTTGCCGGTACCTGGCGTGAAATTGAATATCGACTTGATATTCTCCGTGCGACGAAGGGGGCACACGGGGAAGTTCATTGACAAGGGTCATGAAACTTTTTGAGTCTATCTAACCATTTATGTTATTAATTTTAATCTATCTTTATTATTTTATGAGTTATTAAACATCAAAATGGGTCCGGGATTTTATAAACACCCTGTATATCCAGAATTAGCCGACGATTCGAGACTCAGCTCTCAGAATTTCTGAGAAAGCGCGGTGTTCACCAGCTGCTTGAAACTTCTGGTAGTTAGATGATGTACTGAAATAGTGTGGCAAAGTCGCCACGAGAGGATATAAATTTGATGTTCTATGCCACTAAAACTGCATTAATTGCATTTTAAATTAAAGCTTTTTGTTTATCTTCAACAGGAATGAATATTTAGTAATTAATAATATTAAGTAACATTTCCAATAATATTAAGAAACATTTCCAAAGTTTTGAATTAAAACGCTTTACACTGTCTTCAGGATGCTATTTTTAATTAAAAGTTTAACTGTCTTTAGGAACTGTTAAATTATTTTTATGTATTACAGCTTTATCGTTTAAGTTTGTTTCTATTTCTGTAACTAGGAGTGGCATCATATGAAGACAGCAATATGCGCTTCTTAATGTGATCGCTTTAATGTTATCGTGCGGATATTATTATCAAAATGCTAAAGTCTCCATTTGAATACGGAAACAGTGAAAATACATCGCATATTGTGATCAAAAATCGGTTATTGTTATCGAAATATTATAAAATGAATTTTTTGAATTAAATTAATGTCAACAAATGAGAATTAAATTAATAGAGAAATTGTCAAATGGATACAGATATGTCCTGAAATAGAGATTAATTTGCCAAACATCTTAACATTGAATTAAGTCAAAATTTAAGACTGAAAAATCGCGTTTTAGAAAAGACGGTAAAGAATAATGTTAAGGTATCCGACCTCGTTCGGGTACCATTTTTTAAAAATAGTTTTTATTTAAAATATAAACATATTAATTTGAGGATAAGCATATTAATGTGTAAATTAAATAATTTTCAAAATTAAATAACTTAAAGTTTTTATAACACAAAATGTCGCAGTGAAAGAAACTTTTATGACAATTAAAATTCCCCTGATTTGTAAGTTATATCTTGCTTTTTTGTCACACACATCGTGCTTTTTCTTTCAAACAGCACGTAATTTTTTTCTTTGTGTTTTCGCAAAACTTGTGGAATGCTTCCGATAGTCGTGATTACGCATTTTGTCAAGTTTTCGAAATCCCTGCTCAGTGTAAAATCCAGGACACATATCTAACCTTGAAAATACTTCAAGCAAACCAGTAAATTCTTCATTAAAACAATACAACACTTACATTTGCTCCAAACATTAATGTTCATAAGTTTACGAATTTTTCTTTCGGAACAATGTGCCACAACATGCCGTTAAAACATTCGCTGGCATTTTGAGTTTTGCCATGTATATTTATGTATATACAAAAATTTACAAAATCTTCAAGCAAGAATACTATCAACTTTGTAAACATAAAAATGTAAACATTAGCTTGTTGCCAAACTAAATGCTAAATTAAAGGGAAAAATTATTGCCAGATTTTTAAAATGTATTACAAAATATCTAAAATTTATACGAAGGTTTATAATTTACGAAATCTTGATGAAAAATAAGGTTTCTGAATAGGTACGTCTCCTTAAACGCCCAATTCCGGTCCAGAATAGTTGAACTTCCGGTTTCCGTTACAGAAAAGTGTTTATATCTTCAGTTCTAATTAACCTATCAACAAGCAAAAAGTTGCATTTGATAGCTAAAGATGTATTCTTTAAGGTAATATAATAAAAAAATCGGAATTTTGACCGAAAATCATCTTTTGTACGAGGCCGGATTTAAGCATACCAACCGTTTAATAAATGAAGAAATAAGGATGGATCAAACACTAAAATTGCCTTTAACTAACATGAATTGCGATGAATTGAATGCTTGGTGGATATTCAGGAAAAATTCAAACTTCAGCATCAAAGACAGAAGATACCCACCTGTTGCTTGTGAAACAAATCCAAGCAGGTTGTAGAGACATTAGGTATTTTTGGAAGCAGGCAAGATGAAAAGTGAGTGAGGCCTTCGCCGGGAATCGACCGCGGACCTCTGGAATACGCGCACAGCGTGCAGACCACCACACCACGAAGGCATGCCAAGAAGGCGGGAGAAACACCTTGTAAGGTAATGAGATAAACTTTTTGAGGAAGAAGATGCCAGTCAAATGATTTCCGGAAGCTTTATGAGTCTGAATACTTCACAAATTAAAATTTTCGTAACAATTCCAGATAGCCGACTATTAATGAATACTTGAAGTCAAAAGGCTGTGAAAATTAGGTGTTTATATGTTTCTAGTTTTATGTGTATTAAACTAGCTGATTCCATTGATGTTTTGAAGAACTATTTTCTTTTCGCTTAATAATATCATTCGGTTAATGTTATTAAAATATAGTTATGGATAAATGTGATCACAATGCGGCCCATACGGTATGTTAATATGACGGCAAATTTTAACTCTTTATAATAGAGTTTATTTTATATTAATAGGCGATAAAATAGACTAGTGTTTGCATTCCTTTTGTGCATTTACGGCAGTGAAAGTAGATACTTGAAATCATCCATAAAGAGCGATTTATATGATATCTCGTTGTTCCTGCACGCAGTGAATTGAAATCTCTTGTTTTCTTTATAAAATAAGTATTTAAATTAATGAAGAAAAATTGCTTAAAAATTGTTGATGACTACTTTCTGGTCCTAGTGATTAGAGGTTCTTTTACATCATTGTTTCACTTACACAAGGTTTACGTTAATCGAAAAATCACTTAACTTCAAATTACATTTTTGAAACTTCGAGGTTCCTTGATGATGAATAAAATATAGGTACGTCTCCTTAAACGCCCCATTCCGGTCCATAATAGTTGAACCTCCGGTTTCCGTTACAGAAAAGTGTTTATATCTTCAGTTCTAATTAACCTATCAACAAGCAAAAAGTTGCATTTGATAGCTAAAGATGTATTCTTTAAGGTAATATAATAAAAAAAAAATCGGAATTTTGACCGAAAATCATCTTTTGTATGAGGCCGGATTTAAGCATACCAACCGTTTAATAAATGAAGAAATAAGGATGGATCAAACACTAAAATTGCCTTTAACTAACATGAATTGCGAGGAATTGAATGCTTGGTGGATATTCAGAAAAATTCAAACTTCAGCATCAAAGACAGAAGATACCCACCTGTTGCTTAGGGAAACAAAAATTTCGATGCCTTCATAGCACGAAAATTTCAGTAAAGTAATAAACTAAACAGATATCTTTGAAAACTAATACAATCATTGTCAGAAAATCTTGCCTAGCTATTAATAAATACTCTTTAGATTTTTTTAATCCATGCATTAATTTCTTTGTTCTGTTCCTAATTAATCTGAGTTTTTATCTTTTGGCACAAAACCAGCTTCATTTATAATACTTCTTTATTCTTTTCAGGTTTCAGTTGCAGTTTGTTGCTAGCCGAGGTGTTGGACATAGTGATATAGCGCTAGATGATATAACTCTGAGCCCAAGGTGTTTTGGAATCGGTAAGTACTTGTTTATATATGGCAATTTAATATCGATGATGAATTTGGTATATATTTGCTTAAGGATAAAATACAATAGTGTCTTGCGTGAGAATCGTCTTGCACAATGAACACTCGGGAAGACCGAGAATTATCTTCCTTAACGCATTTTTCCCGCATTATGAAAATGTAAATTTTGTTGCCCAACAAGCTCGAATCTTATTATCAATACAATTATCTTTATTTTCCCTCTATCTTAACGTGAAGATATGAAAAATAATCTATGCATAAACTAAGACAAAATGTGAGAAAATAAATGTACAGTAAATACCTTGATTTATAAGCATAATTCGTTAAAGAACGTATCAAACGTTAAAAGGTGCTCGAAATCCGAAACACTCGTATATCACAGCGAATTTTCCCATAAGAAATAATGGCAACTCTGATGATTCGTTCCACAACCTAAAAATATTCATATGAAAATGATTAATAGTAAAAAGTAAAGTACAAAACTGAAATATGTAAAGTAAAATACATATAACAAATAAATCTGTATGTTGCCTTTCAAAAGAATCTTGATTAACTATCGGAATGACTACTAGCTGCTGACTGACGGAAGTCGGCTATGGTATTCTTCTAGGGTCACTCTACGTTTGAACCATAAGTTTTATTTCTTAACTTGGATATTGAATTACTTGGGCTTATTTGTAAAACACAACGCAATGTAAAAGTATCTGGTTATTTGAGGATGTCGAGGAATTAGTTAAACTAATTAAATTTTTATTATTACTGTTATTAAAGTGAACTGGGTGATTGCTATGTACTGGATATATCGTCTCTGGTGTCTGCGAGGCTATATATTAATAAATTAAATTACTCACTATCTCTGAGTTTTGGAATAACTAAGTATTTGGAATCTGGAATTTGTTTTATTATCTATTTCATATTTTGTAAAACTTTAACAAATTATTGATTAACAAACTCAATGATTTCAAAGTGAGCAATGGCAACACTGTACGGGAAAAAACATTTTTATCTCCAGCGCGAGAGACTGTGTACGGAAAATTCTAAAGATATGCTTATTTTAAAATTATTTTACGATATTACTGTTGAATGTTATGGTTTAAGTGCGAGGAACATGATATTTAATGAATAAATGTAACATACAAAACGTTAAAAAAAGCGCCCTTTGGCCGTAATGTAAAATCTGAAAGCTTTCATAATTTTTTTGTATAAAGTATTTTTATTTTAAGAAAATTGGCTCTCGTTTAAATTTTTTTAAGGGGTATCAGCAGCCACTATACCGAAAATGTTAAATTGGCCATTTTCGATGTACTCTTTCTCAAAATCTGCTGTAGATACACGCTTGAATTTTTTTGTGTAATTAAAGTATACCTATCTGATAATACTGAAACTAGAAAGCCCGGCGGTCATACGAAATGACCGCTGTTCTAGATATTATAAATTCTAATTAAAATGATTTGTGCAAAACTCATCAGTCTCATTTTGCCGAGAAAGACGCATTTGCTCTGCGACTGAAGCAAGCCTTTCTTTCTCTGCTTAGTGGTTTCTTTTCGTCAAGAAAGTCGTTTTTGTGCAGCTTCAGCTTCTTTTCTCTCCTCTTCAGTGCTGTATTTTCTAGGAGGCCCATTCTTAAAAGAAATTACGTTAAGATGTAGTTTTTATATAAAACAGATGATTGCCAATGCAAACAAATGTTCACCTTTCCCCTGAGATGCTCAATTTGCGTTCAGTTGTAAACTCGAACCTGGACCTTTTGCATACGTGACAAATGTGCTACCGTTACACCGCAAAGGAATGCAGAAAGGAGGGAGAAAGTACCTTATAACGGAAAAAATGAATTTTGTATAAAACTTTCTTAATTAAAATGAAAGTTCTGTTTCGAAACTTTTGGAACACGCTCTGTATATTGCGTTATTACACAGTTTATGAAATCCTTTGTTGTTATTTTAGTTCTGCATCTTTTTCCCAAAATGATTTTTCCTGTTTTGCAGAAGTGAACTAAAATGCAATTTTTTTTGCAGGCGTCCCAGAGAACGAGAGTATTCTTCCTGAAGAACGTGAGTATTAATTTATACCCGTCGATATTCTATTGGACAATACGCTGATATGTTTATATTTCTATTATTTTTTGAAACTAGCTATCGATATGTACCTAAAGAAGGTATTATATATTTTACATACATACGTGAAGTATTTTTTAAATTGTATATTTATTAAAAACCATTTAGGAGTATAATTCTAAATATGCGATGTGAGTTGAAGAATGTTTAGAAATATTTCTTTTAGTTATGCGTATCTGTTTCTTATTTTCATTTTTGAGTAAAGTTGAAATAGTGATGTCTTACACGCTTACTCACTTATAAGCAGTAATATTTAAAATTTCTTAAGCACTTAAGTATAATTTATGATCCTTATTTCGATGACCTGTGCTCAAAACAAAAACATCAACTGAGCAAAAGTTTCTTTAATCAAATACGCAGCTCCTGTAATAAAAATAAATGTAATAAATGCGAGCGTTAAAAAATGAATACATACCAGCGTTTTTATGTGTTTAACTGTATAAGCTGTCTCCAAAAATATGAAAATAGAAGAATACAAATCCTTTGCAGGCTACAAATTTTCGAACCTGATTATTTTCTTACTGCGATGTTGAAGGTATTATTCCAAAAATATTATGTTTATTCTAATAAATTAAAAAAAAACAGTTATGACCATCTTCATAATGCTAGAATGTGTTCACTGAAATGATGTATAAAGTATTGGATAAAGTGGAATGTTTATTAATGGCTTGAGAAGACATTTGAGGCATCGTTTTTTTTTTTTTTTTTTTTTTTTTTTTTTTTTTTTTGTTGACTACTTTTGTTTATAACAGGGAAGTTTTCTGATTTAAACGACGTTGATAAAGACTGGAATGTAATGTCCTGAAGATTAAAAGCCCTCACTTCCGAAATGACCCAGGTGACTGAGAGTTTCAGAAATACTTTTATTAATACGTAAGAAAAATGGAAGAAGGACTACAAAACTGGTAGTTGATGTCGAAACGTTAAATTTTAAAGCCTGATCAATGCCGTATTTACGTATAAGCTGAAGCTTAGAGCCCCCTCTTTCTTGGGCCCTTCGGAAAATTGTAGCATATCCCATATAAAAAAATTCACTCATATCCCTCATAAAAAGCCCCATATCTCAAACAGCTTAGGATCTCATCAAATCTAAATCCGGTCCCGCTCTTGATCAACGAATGTGAGCTTCGACGATTGTCCCACTTAGTGAAAGCAGATAAGGAGCTGTCTGCAGATGATTTAACTGACAGCTGAATACACTGCAAGTACAGGAGCGCACATTTCATCGAACTCCATTCAATATGGGACTCCGCAGCAGATATCCTTTCATCTGCGTCCGTTAAACCAACACTATTGTTATTAAACAGCCCAGGAGCATTAAGATTGAATCATGCAATAGTGAAAAAGGCAAAATAACTATTCAGATAATCCTGGTGAGATGAATAACGGTTTTTTTTTTTTTTTTTTTTTTTTTTGCATCAAGTCAATGGCCATGCCAGGGTATGTCGTTTTCCAGACAATCGATTCTACTGTTATTTATGTGGGTATACAGCTATGCTAGACAGCCCTTTCCAGCACCTCAGTTTAAACCCCGGGAAGGGCATGACGAAAATGCAATTTCATTAGTTGAGTTTCACGACGAAAAATTACCAGTAAAACGCCAAGCCATACTTTTCTTAGCAAAAGTAGAAAACGTCAAGCACGGGCTGAAGGTAGGCGGCATAGGTATGGTGGTTCCATCTAGTAGTCTGGGGAAGCGGTGAAAAATCTCAAGGCAGGCTGGTGAAATCAAGGCACCATGCAAGGATCGTCGGCTGGCGAATCAGGAAATAGTTTCATCGGCGAATCAGAAAATTATTACAATTAGACATTTGGTAGAATCTGCCTCCAGCCATCTAGCAAGAACTTGTGACATCCATGCCAAGGCGAGTTGCAGCAGTTTTGCAGGCCAAATATCGCGCAACGCGTTACTGAATACGTGGTCATCATGTTTTGGCTCTTCAATGTAACTGTGCTTGAGTTGTATTTGTGCCATGTCACCTTTATTTCCAAATATGATTATTTTCAATTATTGTCCATTTCAATAATCATTTATTATTTTATCGTAACTTTTTTTTATTTTACAGTTCCCAAACCAACCGTTCAGCAGCGGCAGGTCACTTACGTTAAAAGTGAGTATTTAGTTCCTAAGTAAGTACGTCTGAAAATAGTATGCTTTTATAAAAATGTTAGATATCTGCTAAATATAGACTTGTCTATATATATAAAGAAGAATGCCTGTTTGTTTGTTCACGATACCCTCAGTCACTACTATAGCTGTCGCCACCAAACTTTCTACAATTCTTTTCTGGGTTCTGTGAAAGGACGACTTCCACTTCCCTCCAAAAAATATACATATATTATACTCGAATTTAATGAGCTTCTGCTTAAAAACTCAGCGATTTGAAAGCTTTGCATTGCCACTCTGCAAAAGCGTAAGATGTTTCAAATTTTATCGAAATACTAGGGACTAAAAATAAAATTGTGTTGCCACTCGGTAATATGTCTCGAATCTAATAAAAAAAACTCGGCTATTTAAGAGAAAAGTGTTGCACTGCCCAAATTAAAATACTTCAAAGCAGTACAATACTGTTATCTTTCAGCAAAGTGTAAAATTTGATTTTTCACTCAATCATATGCATTTTCTTTGTTTTTAAAAGTGAATTTGTAGTAGTCGCCACAAAGCATTAGTTCTGCTGTGAAATCTATTATGCCACAAGACCGAAAATTGGTTGTTTCAGTTGCACCTTAAGCACGATAACAGCGTGCTTAAGACTCTAAGTTTGCTCTAACTCTCAGTCTGCTCCGCTCTCTTAAGCACGTTAACAGCGTGCTTAAGAGAGCGGAGCAAATTGAGAGTTGCTGAGACAGCGGAATAGACAATAATTAGGAAAGGATTGCAGAAGTTATCGTTCTGTCTGTTGTTTGAAACATTACTGTCAATCTAACTTAACTGGCATCGGGTATTTCCGATGCCAGTTAAGTTAACATATAAATAATGCCAGCCTAGTAACATATAAATAATAATACATAACATAAAATTAAATGTATTTGTACTCAAGTTACTAAACGTGCTCATTATACGCAGAAATAAACATTCTAAAACCAATCTTTTTACATGGAATGAAATTGGTATACATTGCAAAAGAACACTTTACGATCAGCTAGACAAACAGAAAAGATAATTATTATTTTGCACTAGTTAAAACTGCATTACAAGAATAACAGACACTGTAGAGTCATTAGGTTATTTTAAAGCTGGAAACGTAAAAAATGTGCAGTGCCCTCACCGGGACTCGAACCCTGGACCTCTCAAATATGCGTCGAATGTACTTCCAATTACAACATGATTGAAGGGATGCTGGCGAAAATACCTTCTAATGTTATAATTGCAATTGTAGGGTTTAAAATAATTGACGTCGACGGGATAACAGTTTAAAATTAAATATTGTGCTAGAATAAGTCTTGTAAACTAGAATAAAACTTGTGAAAAGCCAATAAGAAAATAAAAATTAAATATTGATGCTTTGTTTACTTTTCAGTCCATTTCAGGGGCAAGGAAAATATCCATAATTTCTCTAATAATTCCCGAATTTAAAAACCTCTTTGCAGACGCTGGAAAAGGATGTTCAGACACGATGCTGTGGGGTAAGGCAGAGAGACTCAGCAATGAATTTTTAGCTATGGTCTTAATGCGGAGTTTTAAATTAATTAGTTTATGTACGCAGGTGAATTACAATATGCCTTTTATTAGCAGAAAAGGTATAATGAGTGTATTATTAGTACTGCTTTCTTACATTTCAGAGGGAGAGTTTTCAGATAGATAAATATCTATATATACTATCAGAATTAGTCTATTCTCCTTTTAAAGGTAAAAACATAAACTGTGAAGGAAATTTAGAATGATCCAGTCTAAAAACCATCACTTCATCGCGTTTTATTAATATAGATAGATTTCTAACATGCGACGGCAAATATTTTGAGTGTTTACTCCGTTGCAAAAGAATCATAAAAGGTTATTTTCGTTGTAGTTCCTCGAATCAATATTATGTGGGACCAGGCTATCTACACATTAAGGCAGAGAAGAGAAACTAAAGTTATGAATCATTGCATGTCGGTTGCAAATTAGAAAAAACAGGAAATAGTTTAGAACTTTTCATATTCATGTATAAATAGTTCTGCATTATTATGTAATCCGTATTTTGAGCCAAATTATATCTATCCTATAAAAATATTTCTCATCCACAGAATTTCTTTTCACGACGTGTGGTGCTCGTGGTAGACTAGGACCAAGTGAAACATTATGTTCCTCAGCGTATCAAAATACTACCACCAAAGTGACTGTAAGTACTGAACCCACAATGGAAGGGATCCAGAAGTGGACTGTACCCGAAAGTGGCCTGTATACGTAAGAAAGATTTCATTATATAATTGTATTTACCTATTTAGATATGTGTTATTTTTCGTTAAGAAGTGAATTTATATGAAATAAAATTATCACTCTGAGAAACTTCAACACTTTTATACCAACATATAAGAGTTGTTCAAATGAAAACATGCAAAATGTCGTAACACATAAACAGGTTGAAATTTGAATATGCCGCTTTAGCATAACGTAGTGAGATACCTAAGGACGCGAATGTGTTGCCCGGCGTGGTTGGGCGCATGCGTGAGGGCCCACACATAACGCAGGAAAGAAGTAGGCAGTTGTGTGTTTTGCCCAATTGATGCAGCAGTGTGTGCGAGAACATCATGGCATTCACATTGCAAAATTCGACTACTGAGGAGCAGCAACGTGTTATCAGATTTCTAACTGAGGAAGGGTTTAAATTGGCCGATATTCACCTCTGGATGATAGTCGTATACGGGGGAAGACCGAGTATCCGACATGTTAGTGAGAAAGTGGAGTGTCAGTTTTCGTGAAGGTCTGGAATGTTTGATTAATGACTCGAGACCAGGCCATGCAAACACGGTAATCATGGCCGAATTCATCGACAAGGTAAACGATTGGTGAGAAATGACATTTCAAAGAAAGCGCTTCAACTCGCAGCTCACGTTATGGCAGAAAAGATATGTGCTTTCTTACGAGTTATACACATGATGAGGCTTCTGCCCAGGCGCCTGTTACAAAGTGTGTTTAGCATCTGAGTCTTCAACTCGGACGACGAACTGAGGGGCACAGTAGAGGACTGGCTCCTGTCACGGCTACATGAATTCTGGGAAGAGGGAATCCTTCAGCTCAATGAAACAGTGGTGTAGTTGTGTTCAGACCTCTGATGATTACTTGTGAATAAAGACTTCAAGATATCCTTAGTGTTGTTTTGTACCTTTTCATTTGAATGCCCCTTATATTAAAGACTACACACTTATTATATAGAATGACTCGACTCACTTTTATTTGAAATTCATTCAGTGAATCAGTAATTGTATCCAGTTAAAGACGTAACTAGTTTTTAATAACAACACTGTTGAGCATCCTAAATTAATAAATACAGTTTCTTGATTTCAGAATTTCTTGATTGGCTTTATATTGTTTTGTACGGTTTAGAATTAGGATCGTATAACTTGTGCATTCCTAAACTTTTCTTGGTGTATTAATTTTCCATATTAGTACATTTAGCACCTCGATAGCAGTTTCTTGCAATGAAGAGTACCAACCACGGGTAACTCTAACCATGGATTAACAATACAAACTAACCACTGGTAACTTTTCTCTTACCGCGACTTTTCAATTATTATATTTCCTGTCAAATTTTAGTTTGCTTTCAATAATTTGATGTCGATTGCAATTACGAGGCAATATTAATTTTTACTACCGAGTCCTAAAATTGACAACAAAATTAAATCAATTTCCAACTTTATTTTTATCTAAACAAATGCTTTTTATTTTATTTTATCTGAAATAAGCATGTTTTTCTTACAACTTTTCTGAAATTAAAAAAAAAATAATTTTGTTTAAATTTCTTCTTGGTGTTTTTTGAGATTGCTAAAGTCCTAATGCCTGTTTATGATTGCTAGAAGCTTCAAAATATTTTCAATTTCTTGCTTTCAACGAGAAAGAGGCAGAAATCAGAAGGCTGGTGAAGCTTTAAATAAATTTGTAAAATTTGCTAATGAAACTAAAAAGTATGATATTGGAAAAAATAAATGAATTTTCCTGTGCTACTATACATCCGCCTCCTCCAAAGTAGGAATTTATGAAGCAAGTGGGCATTTTTACTCATTAAAGGTGCTTTTAAATTAACGAAAATATTGACCGAATGTCTCTTCTTAGGAAACATTAATGTTTTTTACTGATTAATGACTACATAGGGCAAAAGTATCCCAACGTAACGTTTTGAGAAATGCCTCTTTCTTTAAAGGTTTCTCTTGAAATGACATAAAAAAGTCAGAAACATCATATAGTTTATATACCGAGTTTTTAATAGCATTAACAGGTCGTATTACTTCCGAAGAGAACATGTGAGTCCACTCAGACTAAGGTCCCCATTCTAAAGAGAGTGAAGAGGAATTTATGTAAAGTAAATTTGTTTATACTTTCAGGAGAAAATTGCATAGCAGGGGTGGCAAACTTCATGTCAATAAGAGCCACGTGTTGTAATTCAAGAAAGTTCGAGAGCGACATCTAGATTTTTCAAAAGCTGCAAGTCCATATTTACACAATTTTAAAAGTAGTGAAACAGGTTCCAAATAGGAAGAAATGTCTGATTATAAACAATCATTCAATGACTGTTCGCTTTCGGTGTGTGGTGATGAGTCGAAGAGAACACGAAGTTTTGTGGTGTCTTTGTTTCCTCTAATTGCTTTATTGATACCGTAAAATGTTGTCTTTTCAGTTTTTAAATACTCCGATTCAACTCCAATACTCTCTTGCAAATGTTTGATCAATCACAGCTTTGCAGTGTTCACGAAACTTTGCAATCTCCTTAAATCTGAGCCACAGCGATTCAAATTGATTTTCTGCTACCTCAGAATGATCCCATAATTTCCCTGCATGCTCGTTTCCATGACTAGTAAACTGTATAGATGTTGTCCTTAAATGTTATTGATCTTCGGAATTTTCTAATCTTCTAATCTGTGACAATCATCAGTTTTATCAGAAACTTCCAAAGCTTCCATTTGCCATAAATTTCTCATCAGTTCAGATGTCGAATCCATTTCTTAATGATACTCAACTCTTATAAAATTTTGTATGATATTAAATGTTTCTGATATATTACATGCATTTCATCTTCTGCTCAGAGACCAAACCCCAATTCAGTGTCTACCATTAATAATGATTCAGAAATTCTGCAGTATCCAGTATTCGGCTGTGAAGTATCCACAAGCATTCATAAGAAAATTTAACTTTTAAAGTCTTTACAATTTTTTTGATATAATCAGTATGATGTTTTTTAAAGTTTTTGAATAATACTGTTAAATTAAAAAATAGTAACTAAAGAGAAATGAAATGAAATAATTACGTTTGAACATTGATCTGATTAAGTTAACTAAGAACGCAGTAGAAAGAAATTAAATATATTAATTACGTTCTTTTCGACATTGAGTAGTTTTAATTCGCATATATTTTATTTGCATAAGAGTCGCCACCACTTCCTCACGAGAGAGCTAAGCGCGGCTCGTGAGCCGCTCTGTGACTATATCTTTATGTATAGTTTAGCTTGAATAGCAAGGTTATAAAGATAGATAAGAAATCTAAGACTTTAGTCTAAAAGAAACGGACTTTGAATGCAGTTTCTGTTGAACTAAAAGAAAGGCATAGCTGGAGACCTGCAGCTTTTTACATGCTTTGACAAATTTTGTTCCATATTTCCGTAACTTTTAATCTACGCCAGGGGTTCTGAACCGGTGGTACGTAAGAGAAAAATAGGTGGTACGCAAAGAAGCAAAGTATTTTAAACTACTAAATTAAAAAATTAAAACCCTAATATCCTGATTGAATGTTTTCTCTAACACTCGTAAATTTAGCTTCGTTCAAGAATGGTGATGGTAGCAGTACTTTGTAGAGGTGGTACTAAAGGTTTTCAGTTTTTGTTAAATCGTACGCGTTAGTTAAAAGGTTGAGAACCACTGATCTTTGCCGTCTAGTTGTTGATAGATCAGCTACAAGAAAGCTCGGACTGCAAAGGGGTAACTGCACCGTTAATGTATATTCTCCATCCTTAAAAAACGTAACGTTATTTATTACACTTCTCTTTCAACAAGAGTTGTTTTGCAGGATGTTCGTGAAAGGAGCTGGCGGCGGAATGGGTTTCTCCAACCGGCAGCGGAGCTTTGGCACTTCCCTTCGTGCGACTTACGACTGGCAGGAAGGTGATACCATCTATCTTCTCATAGGGCAAAAGGGCATAGATGCCTGCGCGGTAAGTCCACTATCAGCTTCTTTCTCAGTTAAAAAATAAAGTGTTTCGGTTCTGATAGTTTCTACTAAAGCCTGTGCGGAATAATAGGTAACTTATGTATGTACGCAAGAGAGCAGCACGAGAAGGAAAGTAAAGTGTTTTCTCCCCCCCTCCCATTACTCCTGTTTATGTTTAGGGTAATTCTTAAAGCCCTATCGTATCTAGCGACGTGCGCGGCTAGGCTGGACATTTCCGAAAAATGAGATTCTAGTAGCACTGGCTTAAACGGGAAGTTTCCGAGAAATGGTCCATCTAGCCGAGGAAGGGATGTTCCGGCTACGAGGAACAATTTGAAACTTTTCTGAAAATGTTCCGTTTGCAGCTGTGTTCCACGTAGAGATCAGCCAATCAGACGAAAGTTCCGCTTTTGATGAATCACGGGTAATTTTTAATATGGGAATGGCTGCAACTGTGAGATCCTGAACGGTGGAAATAGAAGCCGATTTAATTAAAGAAATACGGAAAACACTGTATATATTATATTGCTGTTTTGTTGTAGTATAACTGTCTAAGTCATTTTTAAAATGTTTATATATTCATTAAATTTATAATCGTGGAAATTTCAGACTAGACATATCTTATAACGTGCTTTTGATGATTTGTTTACAAATTATTCGTCGCCAAAAGGTCGCCAAGTTTGTTGTATTTCGTGCTGATCGTGTGAAAGTAAATGCTATTGTTATATAATAGTTATTTTTCTTTTGTTGTAAAATTAAAGGTGAATAGTTTTTAAAAAATCTGTTTGTATATATCCACGACTTAACTTTTCTGCTAATTACTTTTACTACTTTTAAATTGAAATTGCATAATCAGCGACATACTGTAAATAACATGAGAGGTGCGTAAAAATGGAAAACATAGCTTATTTAATAATGAGAATAAACATTAAATTTGTATGCTATTATTTTCATGTTATTAATTAAATACTTTTTAGATTATAAATACATTAAGAACTATGTTTTTATTGTAAATGCTACACATTGAAACATTGAAAAGTTATGGATTTATTGTTATGAATGATGAAAACGATTTGTATATACATTCATTAATGTAACTCTTATTCTTTACATTAATACTAATAAACATACATCAACTTCTAAACCATTGCATCTCACTTTCTCTACATGTATGTAAATATATGACTTATTAGATCTGTGCATATGTATATTGTTCCGAAATATCCACCACGCGGTAAGATAGCTTCCCGCAAAGCGGGCTTAGGGTTGCCATAAAATGGCAAGGAGAGCCAGAGTTACGAGATTGGCCCATTTGGAGACAACATTGGCGATATGCCATAGACTGATGGAGAACCTTCTAGAACGAATTCATACCACTTTGGCCCAGAATGTTCTCGACGGCTGGTTAAAAGCTATATAAACCCTGCATGTACGAAGAGTAGCAGTCTATCGAGAGGATCGTTAGTCTTGTATTGAGTTGGTGCATCTAGAGTGCGCGTCGTTGAGGCTATCGGAGTCGTTGAGGCTATTATCGAGAGTTGTAGCGGGGAGAGGCTCAAGAGACCTCGAGTTCCGAGAATGACCGAACCGAGTCGGGAGCTGTACTCTAGTGCTTTGCCGTGAAGCTGTTTTCACCGCTATAGCCTGTTAGCCTCAAGGCTGTATTGCTGATTGTTTCAACATGGCTGTCGTAGTTTTTCGACGACTGTAAACGTGTTTTTGGAGCTGTCCTGGGTAACACTGGCTAATAAATTGTGATTTGATTCTTCATCAAGTGTTGTCATCAGTCAACTCCGAATCCACGAACTCGTACAAAACGCAAGAACATATATGTATGAATACAAAAATTAACATTATCAAAAAGTTTATTTGAAATTACTTCTAATTCATATAACGATCATATAATTGGCAGTAACTGTAGTCATCAGTTTTTTGCACATTATCCTGGACATGGAATACACAGCTGAAAAATAATTGAAGTGCATTTTGTGCATTAAGGTAGTCATTAAAATTCACCTATTTACATACAACATTTGCATTTGTAATTTACTTTGGAATTTTAATAAAAAAACTGAGTAGCCTTTATGAAATATTTAACATTTTGGGGATAAAATAATTATTTTTGATCCATCACGAAACATATATCAGTAAAAAACATTATATTGTGTACATAAAAATTATTAAATAAATGTATAGATGCAAAAATATTGTTTACAGTAATAAAATCCGAATAATGACAAATTACTGAATGTACGATGTCAAAGTATTTACAAAAATATATACAACAGATCATTTACAAGAATCGGAGTAAATAAAATATACAGTTTAAAAGTAACCAGCTAATGTAATAAACACATGTCATTTTGCCAAGGCACTAAGCCAGCAGTATTAAAAATAATTACAAAATATATTTTGTATATACACGGAATTTAAAAGCAAAAGTCTCTTTCGCCAATCTGAGCGATAACTGATTCCTGTTTGGATATCAAGTCTGTTTACCAAGTGAAGATCGTAACCCAGCTAGGTAGGTTTGGGTTTTGAGAAATGTTTCTTTCGACGTTGTGTTCCGGCTACAATTAGCGTATGTGATAGGCGTCTAACAACGAAGGTCTGATGGCCACCGTGCTCATACCTGTCCTGTTTCACACATATCCTAGAGCAGTTTCATTTCCGATTCTTCACTTTAGCTGCATAGAGAGTTACAGAGCATATAATACATTTAAAAACGTTTCTATAGAAAACCCAATAATTAAAGCAGTTGAGTCGATGTCGAATGGTCGATGATTCCGCAACAATTTCATACCTTGCCCAGCTGTTTACTTATTTACGCTATTTGCCACATTCTTCTTCATTTCTGTACTTAATTCATCTCATTCATAAAGAAAATATACTGCCAGTGATTTAAATTCAATCCTTGCTGCAAACTACTGGTTCACGTTTCCACTATTAAAAAGTGACTGAAAGATTAGACTAGACTTACATCATTAGTAATCCGTTATAGAAATATAAGATAGTTAGAGAAGCATGCGACAACAAACAGACGCTAATAATTGTTAATAAATTAATATACAAAATGATCAATTTAAATTCTGTTTCTAATAAATCTGACACTGAAAACTGCTTTTGTATTAGGTTATTTTATCTTGTGGGCGACTGCGGCGAGACGAAATTGCGAGAGTTTACTCTAGATGAATGTATTGTGTAGCAAATTTCAAATAACCCTGCAAACTAAATAAGTCCAAGCTGCGTACTATTTCGGTGAAATCAGAATAATCTGCGTTATGATGGAGCAAAATGTTGTGAATTTGCCATAAATTCAGATTTCTATGTCATATGTTGTTAGTATCAATAAACGTGAGTTTTCGGCACGGCGTGTGTCAGAACTGCCTACAGACTGTTTCAAACTTTAATCTTTGCTGACATCGATTTTATGCCAGGAGACGTTTTGCCGGCACTGCGTGTGACACTTACAGTTAATAATAAAAAAGATAATCAATAACCACAGTATAAGAGTTTAGAGCCAAACTTGTCGTTTCATCAATGACATTTTTCAGACATTAACCTCCAGCAGCAAGAATAAACAATATTAAATATCCTTCTTGTAGACCGATTCATAAAACAGCAGAAAGGCAAATTCTAGAAACATTCATTGCTCTCCAGAAAAGGGGAGCAAAGTTGCCATTCTGCATCAAGTTCATAGAGATGACAAAAAATGAATATTTGACAACAACAGAAAGTGAACAATGCAATGGCTGAATAATAAAGAAGAATAGGTGAAACTCAGACTTAACTTGCACCTACAATAAGTTTCGATTTCTGTCGTATATTATTAATTTTAGCTGTGTTGTCAAACTATCACAAGTGGTGTACATTACCGTCAACTGAACGAGTATCAACAACAAACAATCATCGCTCGCCACTTATTTGGGTTTCGTACAATTGTAATGTGGAGTACAACTACATGCACCTATTACAATATATAAAACATTAAAGCCCCTTGGAGGGCCAAATCCTGCGTTACCTGTTGTATATTCATTATATTTGGTTAGGTTAGGTTATTTTCATATGGCAAAGTCACGAGGAAAAATGTCTTCGTGAAAGACTTTTAATGGACTTGATAGCTCGTATTCACGTTACAATGCAGAAAACCATCCATGCAACCAGCCCGTTCACCTGGGTTAGAACAAAAATCAGGTTGAACTACAGCGTTAGCGGTCTTAAGCGCTCGTGGTGGAGCTATAAGATTTGGCCCCCTTGTCTTTAACCTTCGTATTGAAAGGAGAATATTTTATTTACCAGTATGTTGTGGCTCAAAAAGTTGACAATTTCTTAAAATACTATGATGAGAGCATTTTCTGTTGAGGCATTTGTGTACTAAAAATACGTTGGGGGAGTACATTGCTGTTGAGGTGGAATATATTGTTTATGTTTCTTTGTTTATAACTGCTGTTTTATGTTTGCGAGAAAATAAACCAATTGTTATGAATCATCCCGATAATTTCTAAACTGCTTCATTAAGACCCTATTTCTGATATTAACAGTTACATTACACATTCTGTTCTAGAGTTTTATTGAAAAAACGTTTTTTGTCAACGATCACTTTAACTACGTCAGCAAATCTATAATGCCATTAAAAGTTTAATGTCACACTCTTTAATGTTCGACATTTATTGTCAAGTGTTTTATATTATTAAAGAACGGACGAGATCTCATATGGTTTACATAAAAGGGATTGAATAGTTCTTTGTAATTACCTATTTGTTTTCTGATTGCATACATGTAGGATGATTAACTACACCAGAAATAATTATTTCTCTGATACAGATTTATATCATGAGTTAGTATATGATAGATAAGAACTAATAGTTATTCTATACTGGTATTTTATGTCCTAACTCAAATATTATTAGGTATAAGCCAGGATTACTTTAAAGCTAGATTTTTCTATTATTCTATTACTCTAGCATATTGCAATGGTATTTACAGCTAGCTACATGTGCATCCACTGGGATATTTTACTACGCTTCTCAACAATTTATTTCTTCACTTGTTACCAAAAATTGTTTTGTGTCTTTTGATTCCTAGAGCTGCGTGTTTTAAATATATCTTTTTTTAATTTTGTATGTTTTGAAAAATTAACTTTTATATATTCTTTATAAATATTTCAAAATGGAATATTTCAAAACGTAAAGTTTCTATTTTAATATAGTTTTCTTTGAAAGAATGAAATAGTTACATAGACTATGTTATAGTTCATATATGCATATTTGATGTGTAACAAAAATATATTTTGGATGTTTTCTTTTTAATTACTTCAGGGGACGCCAGTCTGTGAACCCAGAATAATAAAGAGGGACATTACTTTAAATACGAAAATGAAGAAAATTCGGCAAATGAAAATAAATGGAGGAGGAGGTGGTGGCGGCGCCACTTATATATTCAAAGTAAGGAAGAGAAAGTATTATTGTTTTTCAAATAAGAATTTGAAGTGACGGTTATAGCGAGTATATATTTAATTGGTATTTTTTATTTTGAAGAATTATTTTTTATATTTATACAAAATCAAACAAATAAAAATTAGCCCATGAAATGAAAGCAAAATGTAAATGAATTGTACTCATTTAGCATAATGTATTTTTACAAGTATTGCCACTTTGTTTGCGTATATTCGTGTTTTTTATATTTGCATTAATTTAGCAGTTAGAGGTAAAAATTAGCTCACATTAGTGTTAAATTAGTTAAATATTTACATATCCTAAGAACAGTATATGTATAAGAAAGGTTAAATTATTGATAATTTCATAAAGGGCCTCTTAATAATACAGTGTAATGCTATTAATGACCGGACATACGCAGGGCTAAGTACGATACGCGCTTGCTGCGACGGTACGTCGTTGATACGCGTGATGATGCAATCAAAAGAACCTTGAGCTTCAACAGCAACAGGTGACATGTGTATCATCTGCTGCTGTTGAATGATGGGATGATGATTATCGGCGTCCACTGATTCGGTCATTCTACCCATCTGTGAGACTTCTGTTAAATTTGTAGCGATCATAAGGTGTCTTAAGTTGCTTGCTCATATCGCCATGCATTATTGTATCGATGAGATCTGCAACGCCGAAGAGAAGGGCTGTAGTGCATGAGCTTCCTATGACCCTGAAGATAATAGATGACTTTGGATTCGAACTTGGGTTTGTTCTGTGGCAGTCGAATACCTTACTGCTACCGTAAAACAGGTCTCGGACGTTAGTTTCTGGTATTCGAACGTGACGTTAGTTTCTGATATTCGTAACGTGAGCGTTTGATTGGCTCTGGGGATCGCTACAAATTTTAAGTTATCATGTATTTTAATGAGTTATATTCTGATGAGTTAACTCTAAGGGAGTTAAAAAAATGCAACCACAAGCAGCACATCTGAAAGCATTGACAGATTTGCATAATCGATACCTTCTATATTCGATGAAGTCGTTCTGGCAATCCTGGTCAGAAACTATATTGCCGATTATCATTGGGAATAAAGCTAGTTCCCTTATTATCCGTGGAGAGGTTTGCACTTGGATTATCTTGGCGAGCTACGTATAAATCATAATCACTACACGCCACGGTGTTGTTCGATTATTGTCTGTTACAAATGGAAACTAGAATAATGGGGCAATGTCACGTGTTACAGAGATCCGATGGATGTGCGTAGATATTGTGACTGTCAGGCGAAAAATCTCTCTATGAGGTTTATTGTTCCATGAAATTTGGTGAAAGAAGAAGTATTTCTTCGCTTTGGTCTCAGTCCACTACATTTTATGATCAAAATACTGAATATCAAAAGCTAAGAAGAGGGGGCCCACCAGCGGCCGAGCGGTAAAGTCGCTGAACACTGGTAGTTCGGTCCGAGGTTCGAATCCCGCGAACGGGCTGGCTGCATGGGCGTTTTCGTAATTTTCCCCATGTGTAACGTGTATACGAGCCAGTTTCCCTTAGAAAGTCCTCCACGAAGGCATCCCTCTCCTTAGGCAGATAGCCCTCGAAACTTTGCCATAATCACACACACACACACAAAAGCTAAGAAGTAATACTGGGCAGTTCCATTCTATCTATTCAATGGTAAAATTTGGAAGTGTCCCATTTTCGTTAGCATGATGACGCAGCTATAAGACGAAAATTATAACTGAATTTGGACGAGTGAGTGGCAGTTGGCCATATCACCTCATCTTCATCGAACATGGCCATATCACCTCAAAATGAATACAAAGCAATTTACTTGTTGCAACAGGAAGGGCAGAAACACTTGTAGATATTAGAATTTTTTCTTAAAAAGGCAAAGCTGTGATAGCGGCGAATGATTGACCTGAATTTAATTGACATCTTTTGATTTTCATATGAACCCATTCCTGTGGATATTTGATGATGTATTGCTATATAATGCTGTATTACTGAAAAAAATTGTTCAGCCATTCGCAGCTTATTCAACTTGTTCGCACTGCCAAAATTTTGCTTAAAGGACTTGCGAAGGTAAATGATACTGAATCAGCTGATCGTCAAGCCAATCGTTTCTATTTTTTTTAAATCAATATTTTTAGTTCTGCGTTGTATTCTTTCTGAATGATTGCTTGTTTTCAGTACGTTAAACATACAAGAAGCGAACTATGAAATTTGTTCTCGTGATTGAAAAGTGACAATATTTGGTGGACGTAAAAATTACCACGACACATTTTTAGATCATATGATTAAGAACACAGATTAAGTAACACAGGTATGCAAAGATGACATAACGCACAGATTTGCACATGTTTGTTTATTCTACATCTAATTGCTGCAAACCTTTGCAAGGTTTAGCTACCTAAAATGAATTCGCTTCTTTCAGTTCAGCTAATAAGAATTCTGCTGCACTTAATTCTAGAATAATAAAAGAGAATTCTAATGGTTATTATTAGAGTGTTAAAAATCTAAATTAATATAAAATATGTCGAATAGAATGAATCTCGCATCGTATTCAAGAAATAAAAGTTTGAATCCAGATTAGAGACATAGAATCATGCATAAGCTTAAATTTCCGTCCCTCCATTTGATCATGAAAATTAATAAAAAGATTTCTCTTTTTATTTATTTATGAGAAGAAACGTCTTTTTATCATGTGATATTTGTGTAACTCTGTGCAAAACTAGCCGAAACGTTTATGCAAACATATTGGGAGAGAGGTAGATAAATTAGTATTTTACTTGTATGTACAGCAACTGTATACCAAATAAGTAATAATAACTTGTATATTTATGAATTGATATTTATATTAAACAAAATTAATTTTTTTATGTTGTAGATAGACCTTGAATCTAATCAGAAGATCCCCATAGCTATCGCGGCAGGTGGTGGAGGATTTGCAGCAGAAACTACTCCGAACAAATCGATTATACCAGGCAATCCACACGGGCTTTCGATAAATGACTCCTTACTTCCGATCAATGGATATACGGGATCTGGAGGAGGTAAGTTGCCGCTAATTGTTAAATTGAAGCTTAGCTAATTTATTTTTGTATTTTATAGAGACTATCTGATTTTTTTCGAAGCAGGAGATTGGATAAATCGACTGTGACCTCGTCAGATTCGATCCACGTATATTCGAATACTTGCTAGGCGTGTTAATCAGCTAATCACTTATATGAAAGCATGCACGGGGAAATGCAATGTTGCTCCATTAATGACATTCTCAAGATTGCATCGAATTATGTGTTGGCGAGATCAAATGCTTATCATTCGCAAGATACGAAATTAAATGTTAGCCAACATGTAAATGATTATTCTTATTTAAATACCCTTGTTAAATACCTGTACGAACACATATGCAACTTTAGCATTTCCGAATGTGTCTTTATTACAGAAAATGTCTGTGACAGACTTCAATAAAGATCTCAAAAAGAATATGCCGAGCAGCATTGCCATGCCTCTATGTATAAATCGTTTTACAGCATTACAGTTACCCATAATTCCAGTAGTAAAACATTACACAAATATGGATTGTAAATAGCTCTTGTGTTATAGATATCTGTCTTATCACAGCACTTGTATCTTATTGATCTATGCATCATCTGTGTTCAGCTAGTATTTCCATACCATCCATTATATATCCTTGTGTAATACTATTCTTAAGAGTAGTGTTGTACGTGTTTGTGAATATTAGTATTCTGTAATTCACTGATGATCCGTAACTAACTTACAATATGTAAGAGCTATGTACGGTCTTGATAGCGTAAATTAATAGGTGCAAATGGTTATTAATGCTCTGTGTGCGCAGTGTTTATACCTTTAACTGTTTATCAAATGCACTTAGATGCGGTATTTATACATTTAATTGTTTGTCAAATATACGTAGATGACCCTCGATCTTTTGAATTTCTCTAACTTTGATATAAGGAAATATGCACTGAGATTTTTATGAAATAGATAGAGCCGCTGGCAGGGCTTTAAATGCCTGAATAACCTACTATCCTAATGAATTACACACCTGCTACTGCGCTAAATACATGGCGTTAAAAACTCTTTTTTATTCCAAAAATACCATAATTGTTTAAAAGATGTTTAGGTATGCTATAAATTGTACGTATATTATAAATATATTAATTAGATATGTATTAAAATATATAAAGTTATAAGGTATATACAAGGTGTATCAGTGCAGCGGTGACAAACTTTCAGAAGAGATAGAGTATACCTAGACGATGAGAAATCACATAGCAAATGCATGGTCGGAAACGCTGTCCTGGTAGTGACGACACAAAACACACAAAAAAAAAGGGACACAAACAGTGAGACAAAACATGTTTTATGATGTTTAGTACAGCAGAAACCTACGAATAAGAACAAAAACAACGATTGTCATTACAGAAGGTGTTTGAAATTACGCCCCCGGACCATGATGCAGCCCTCACTCCTCTGCGGCTTGGAAGATCTGCATCACGAATGGAAGATCGCATAGAAGATGCGATGACGCATGGTTCCTGCATCACGGTCCGGGTCGTAATTTCGAACACCTTCTTTGATGATGATCGTTGTCTCTTTATACTGTTTTTTTCCTTTGTTTTTGTTGTACTCTGAAGAATAAACATGTTTTCTCACTCCGTTTATGTTCTTTCTTTCTTCACTTCTCAGTCGTCACTACAGCGCCAGGAAATCGTTTTCGACCATGCATTCCTATGTGATTTCCCATAGTCTAAGTGTACTCCTGAAAGTTTGTCAACGCTGTACTGATACACACTGTATACATGTATATATATGTAATATATTCAGGAGCAGGAATTTCGATGGGGTAGAAGTGTTGATCCATTGTGACTAGAACATTGGAGGCAAAGGCAGATTAAATCTTCAGTTTTATTTTCAGCAACATGTTGCGGCTACGCAGAAGTCGGCACATTAAATGTGCCTGTTCCAAAAGGCTTACATTTTTGATAACTTTGTATCAAGAAAGCAGCAGCAGACAGATAGCAGTCTAGCTAGGCCAAAGAGTAGAAAGCAAGCGCGTAATGTTCAGGATGAAATCTCAAGTCAAACTGAGTTAGTTTTGGTTCTCAAAGCATTTTGATTGGATAGTTAATATTGTTGTAAAATTATTATTGGCTGCTTGAGTTTTAGTTCCATTTACATCACCAGAATCACGTAAGAGTCATATGACATGGATTAATCTAGAAATGACTCAATGCAGAGGGCGGTTACAATTTTTACAATTGAGAAGGGAAATTTACGTTGCTAATTTAATCTTTTATATATTCCTTATTTTTCTTACATATATATATATCTATCTATATAAATATAAATATATATCTATTCTGTTACACGGCTTCGTGAGCTCAGTTTTTTTATTCTTATATGTTGGTAAATTATGTACTTTTTGCTTTAAAAGAAACAGAAATTCAATTACAACCATGAATTATTATACGAAAAACATTTTTTTAGTTACTACTTTAATTAGTAATTTAAATTAGCATTATCTAGACCTCTATTGCAGTAAAAACCATAAAAATCTGTAAACTCCTGAATCGCAAAAATACCAAAATCAAAAGTACACATTTTAGGTATTGAAAAAGTAGTTATTGTCATTGACCACAGATTCATTAATTGACCTGTCAAGGGGAACAAACCAATCAACTTAGTTAACAATAACTAAATCAAGTTAGAGTGTTTCGTCTTTTTTGAAAGTAAGGACCAAATTATTATTCTGCTAGAGCCAGATCATAAATCACGACCAGTACTCTATCAATAGAAAGACACTAGTCCATTTAAGCCAAAAGAACCTTCACAAACAAAATAAAATTAGTAAGATTATCTTTTAAATATAAGTTATTCATTAAGAACATAACTAAACAAGATGCTTACTTTAGAAAAAATATTCCTCGAGACTCTCATTTTCAAACCCAAATTCAAAAGTAAAAACAAAATTTATACATTCTTTAATAATAAAAAGTTAAATTCAAAATCAAAAGAAGATCAAAATTTATATAATCTTTTAAATTAAAGTTTTATAAAAAGTAGTTAATTAGCTATTAAAAGATCAAACTCAGGAAGGAAATTTAAATGAACTTGCTTCACTGCAAGAACTTGCTTCATTTAAAACGAAATGGCTGAAAATGTACTCAGTGATGGAATGTAAGAGGTTTGTCGTAAAAGTGTTCTAAAAAGGTTTTCTTATAATATATAATTAATGGTTTTAATTGAATTTCTGTTCCTTGGAGATGGTATATGAAAAACGTTTTCTGATTATATATATATGTGTGTGTGTGTGTGTCATAATTTCGAAGCACATTCGCGATCGCTGGAACTCTTAACAGCTTTCGATAACAGTCATGGCTGAGCAGACAGTAATGGTTGAAGTTAAAACCTATGATGACGCAGTTAACATACTTGAGCTTAAAGAATTCCCAGCCTTTATTTTCACATATATAAAATCATCTCAGTAGATAGTTATCCAATCATAATGAAATCCGATACATTTCTCTGATTTAATCATAATGAAGTATGATAAATTTCTATGTGCATTGGTTTTTATCAAGAAATGACGCAGGCGTTTTTAAAGAAGCGAGGCGGGGAGATATTAGCAACGTAGAAGCTGGCAGAACAGTGCAGCAGAATAATGACGTAACTAGCCAAAGTAAAGGTCTGATTCTAGAGACAAGCTATGATTGGTTAAAATTAGTTTTAGCTGCTGTTTTCCAGGAGCGTTATATATAACGCAGAAAGATCTCGAATTTGGGAGAACAGATGAATTTAGGGAGAGATCATTAAATCTAGAATGTTAATTTTAGGTCACCAATTACTTTTAAAAAAGCTATCGTATTTTGTTATATCTTCCATCTCTCTCTCTCTATATATACTGCTTTTAAACTGAGTAAATTTTAAGCAATATATTGTTTTGATCGGAGGGCTAAAAAGCTTACGGAAGGCTGAATGGTAATAACTCTAAAATCTGGCATTTCACCAGGTGATGTGGATGATAAATGCCCTACTAGCGTGACGTAACTGTGAAAGAAAATGGTAAGATCAACTCGCAATCCTGTTATGATTTAGTGTTACTTCTTTTTGTCCGGGAATATTTTCTATCATTTTTCTTTAATAATCGCAGTGTCACCTGGCTCTTTCCAGGAAGATAGTGAGGTCAGATAATATGGCAGTACTTTTCATAATAAAAGAAATCCTTAGAAATTTCTTCAGCTTAAGGTGATATTTTCTTAAGTCTAGCAGTTTTCATTTCTTAAGTTTCCATTAATTTCGATTTTTCATGCTTTCTTGACTTACTGTAGACGTTAATATGCAGTCTCTAACTATTTTTGCAATCTACGAAATGAGGAAAATTGCATCAGATTTTAGATATCGCAGCAATGATTATGCAATGATAATAAAGACAGCTTAATTTGTGTATAGCAGCATAGCATCGTGGAAATTCCCCCCCCCCAAAAAAAGGGTGCAATGCGATTAATAGACGCATTTCACTGTATGATAAATTAAAATGCTTTATGTTGCGATAAAAAGAAACGCAGTAGTCTTATTATCAAAAATTTAGCTATTTGATGAAATTCTATTTTTATAACTTGCGTCTTGAGCAAATTCGATGTGTTTGAAAAATCTGCTTCTGTTCCTTATTTACATTTAACCATAAAATTGTATATAATCATTTAAAAATGAAAAAGAAGACTAGAAATCAGTTCATAACATTAGAAATGTATGAAATTCATACAAGAATAAACTGCATTCTTTATCCACAAGAAAGAAGAATATTTCTTCGGCTGCTGTTCAACAAAAGTGTACTTAGAGTTTCAAATCTGAAAATGCTTAGCAACTTTTTAATAGCGGGATTGTCCTCCATTAGACATTGAGTTAGTAAGTTTTTATGGGTCATTCCAAGTAAATAATTGCCATTCTGAGACTAGAACATCTCGTAACTCTATTGTATTAGAACTCAATCTTCTTTTTAGCTCATACCCACATATGTTTGATCGAT